CTCACACCTGTAACCCCAGCACTTTGGGAGGCCGAGGCGGGCGGATCACGAGGTCAGGAGATTGAGACCATCCTGGCTAACATGGTGAAACCCCGTCTCTACTAAAAAAATACAAAAAAAATTAGCCAGGCGTGGCGGGCGCCTGTAGTCCCAGCTACTCGGGAGGCTGAGGCAGGAGAATGGCACGAACCCGGGAGGCGGAGCTCACAGTGAGCCGAGATGGCACCACTGCACTCCAGCCTGGGTGACAGAACAAGAGTCCGTCTCAAACAAAACAAAACAAAAGCCACAAAGTTTCTAAGTAGGATTTTCATTGTGGCATCCCCTGGATCCACTGTCCTCCGGAGGCTGGGAGCAGTGGGAGCTGCACCAGATGGCTCACCTTTGAAGGGTCAGGAACAGAACTTTTTAAAACTAGGAACACATGTGGTTCTTGGAACAGGGTTGAAGGAATGGTGTTTTTTCCTCCCCTGGCAGGCCTGGCACCTAGAGGGCCCCAGGAAAATGACCAGTGTGACCCAGAATTGGCTCCGCCTGGCCTAAGCCCACCAGTGAACAGAGAGTGGGGCAAGGTGGGAGGGAGGCTGATCTGGGCCTGGCATGGGAACAGGCTCTTCCCCTTTCTCCTCACAGCCTCAGGGCTCTGTGGTTCTGCCCAGAAAGGAGCCATCCAAAGTGCCTACCCACTCCTGCCCTGGCCACCTGGTGAAGGCAGAGGCCAGCAGCTGTGCCACCTGTAGGAGCTCAAAGCAGCCACTGGTCAGCAGTGCAGGCCAGACCAAAGCTGGTGTGGAAAAGGTGGTCTAGAGAGGCAGGGACGGGACACTTCCAGACCACACCTCTCCTCGCACCGCGGGCTGCTCTGTGTGCAGGGCCTGATTTCTATGTCAGAGAACCCCGGACTCGGAACCAGGTCCTGTTCTGCCACTAAGAAGTTGGGCTGAGGTTAGCAGGTACTAACATTTTCTACCTCGGCTTCTCATCTGTAAAAGGATGGAGGAGCTTGGACCAGGTCAGTGGGTTTCAAACACACAGAAAGTGTGAGGTGGCAGAGGAGCCGGGGTCTTAGACCCTCCGGCCTTCCACTTTTCTTCCATCCACAAGCAGCATTTTTGTTGTTTTTTTAACTCTCCCTGCTTATACCTGGAGCAGCTTTTGCTTTCATATAACATTTAGAATAAAGGAATGTGTGATTTGTAGGAGTTTGAAAACATCTCGAATCCATGGTCTGTAAGCATCCCCTGTAAGATGGCACAGGTGTTCTCCTGCTGCTTTTGCAAACTTGCTGAGACTGCTCAGGTGTCTGCAATCTTCCTGTAGACTGTGCACAGAAGGGTGGTGTGAAACAGTGGGGAGCACAGAAGGGTGGTGTGAAACAGTGGGGAACACAGAAGGGTGGTGTGAAACAGTGGGGAACACAGAAGGGTGGTGTGAAACAGTGGGGAGCACAGAAGGGTGGTGTGAAACAGTGGGGAGCACAGAAGGGTGGTGTGAAACAGTGGGGAGCACAGAAGGGTGGTGTGAAACAGTGGGGAACACAGAAGGGTGGTGTGAAACAGTGGGGGACACAGAAGGGTGGTGTGAAACAGTGGGGGACACAGAAGGGTGGTGTGAAACAGTGGGGAACACAGAAGGGTGGTGTGAAACAGTGGGGAACACTCCAGCCTGGGGACTAGGATCCTGGGTTTACCACCTTTCTCTACCCCCTACTCACATCCTGGTTATCCAAGAGAAATGATCTCTTTTCTTCCAACTTCCTTTTCTTCACCTGTAATATAAGGAGGCTGAATTCTGATGTCTGTGCCAGCATTCTTATCCTGTGAGCTGAGCATCAGGTTTTGAGATTTTACTCTCTCTCTCTCATGCCTGATACAGGCTGTGCACATGTAGACTATTGACTGACCCAAAGAGAAAAGCTTGAGGGTTAGGAAGTGCTACCCAATGTGGTTCAGTTCGTAACAGCTCACAAGGCTGGGCCGGCAGAGCCCAGAAAGCAGGCGCTGATGCGGAGAGTGATTTGCTCTTCTTGCTGTACTGCTGCTGTCTGGCCTGTTGGCCTAGAGCAGACAGAACTGTGTGCTTTGAGCCATCCAGGCCCAGTTCCCAAAAGACATTGTGTGGAGATCAGAGGCACGGAGAGACTGGTCCCTGCACTTGCAGGACTAGACTCTCATAAATTAGGATATCTTTCAAAAACACAAATGTAAAAGGTACTAAAGCAGCTGCATGCTGGGGAGATAGAGCAGATGAACAAACATGAATGGGTACCACGCCGGAGAGACGTCCTTTGCGTGGGATGTGGAAGGGACAGAAGCTACTTTAATCCAAGCGAAGACCACACTGGGAACCCGTTCAGCCACAGCCGTGCGGGCAGTGATGGGTGAGCGTGTCCTGGAACTGGACCTTTAACCAGCACGCTTGGCCGTGGCGTGTGCGCCCTGCTGAAACGGAAAGGTCCGGCCACAGTACCAACATCTTCCTGTACTTTCTGTTCCCCAGATACCACTTGAAAGATGTCATTGTAGGGAAGATATACTTCCTGCTGGTGAGAATCAAAATCAAGCACATGGAGATAGACATCATCAAGCGAGAAACGACGGGTACAGGCCCCAACGTGTACCACGAGAACGACACGATAGCCAAGTACGAGATCATGGACGGGGCACCAGTGCGAGGTGAGACTCCAAGCCCAGGCCTCGGCCACCACAGCTTTTCTCCCATGTCCTGCACAGAATTCTGAAGGGGCTTAGGGGATTACACTGTCCAAGTAAGATGTCCTCTTAACCTGTAACTTATTAATCTCCCAGTTTACACCGTGGGTGCCAATAAGGAAGAAAAGGAAGGCTGAGTATGTAGAACTTCAGGCTACTATCCCATCTTCACCCTGAAAAGTTCCACTTAGACTTGGATAATATATTGGGCTTGTACTTAAGATTGAACCTCAAGCGTCGCTTTGGAAAGTCCAGGTTGAGCAGATGTGGTTTGAACAGGTTTCTACTTCTTCCTGTTGACATTCTGGCATTCTCTGCTGCTCCGGAGCAAGGGATGCCTGCACAGCAGCCGTCTGTGACTCGGTTCTAGCTCCGATTTATTCTCTGAATTCACTTGTCAGGTAGAAAGAGCATTACTAGATACTTGAGCCAACACCACCAGGTGCCCAGATAGCCCTGGAACTTGCTGGAAGCGTCCTCTCCCAGTCCCAGGGAGCTAACGTTACATCTGGGATGGTAGAGCTGGAAGCCCTTTGTCATTTGGGGACCATGATTATCTGGAAGAAGCAATCATTTACATTCTTCATTGGCTCTTTAGCCATTCTTCAGGAATGGTGAAGACTGTCTTCATTTCGAAGTGCGTGGTGCTTCCAGGGTTTTATTTGGCTTATTCCATTTACTCCCACAGGCTGTTCTATGTGGAAGGAGGAGTGCCACAGATTTAGCTGCCTGCAGCTCTGGGGACACTCGGGTGTTACCATGCCAGGCCCTTGGAGGGCTGGGACCAAGCTCTCCTGACACTCTCTGATGTCCCATTTTGTCACTGGCTGTGCAAATAGAGCCAGCTGTCATTTTTCCTGTGCAAATGAAATGGGTCACTGAGAATCCATGTAAAACAGCAGATAATTATAAGATGGCCTATATTTAGCTTTAGACCACATTATAGGTTTGGCCTTTCTTGGTAGAATTACTGCCCTAATTTTGTTGCACTGATACTAGAAAAGGCCTGATGTTAGAGCTGGAAGGGATCTATAGTATCATGCCGTCCGATTCTCTAATTTTTCACATGAGAAAACGAAGGTCCAGAGGAAGCAGCAGACTTAACTCACAAATCAGAAAAGCAGTTCATGCAGAACTGAGGCCGTAGTGAGGACGTTCTGCTTTCCAGACCACCCTGCCACCCTGCCAGTCCACACACGAGGGAGGATGTATTTTGGGGGGTATACACTGAGGATGGAGAAAGATGGCATCAGAAGTGCTGGGTGAAATGGTGACTTAACTGGACTTTGACAGCTGCCTTTTGAAAACCCAAAAACTAAACATACTGCATGTAATCAAAAAATGCTTATACTGATAATACCCCTGTGCTGTTCCCACTCAGCTGCTCTCTGTTTTGGAGGAGACATAAGAAGCTGCAACATGACCTGGAGTGAAATTGGAAAGTCACGTTTTTGTTTCAGCCCCCTGCTGGGCAGCAGAGCGAGTGCACCTTCCCAGAAGGCAGAGTGCTCCGTGCTGCACTCCAGTGGCATCTCTGCAGGGGTCAGAGTGACCTGGCATAAGGGAGAGTGCGTCACCTTGTCCACTGTGCTGATTCCTGCCTTCCTCCTGCAGGAGAGTCCATCCCGATCCGGCTCTTCCTGGCAGGATATGAGCTCACGCCCACCATGCGGGACATCAACAAGAAGTTCTCTGTGCGCTATTACCTCAACCTGGTGCTGATAGACGAGGAGGAGCGGCGCTACTTCAAGCAGCAGGTGAGGGCCAGGCTCCTCCTCCAGGCCCCGATGCCCTTGGGACAGAACAGGAGGCTGTCTTTCCTATGGAAGGTCAGGCTCCATTTTTGCCAAGAGGTGGGAACATCAGGTCACCCACAATTGCACGACAAGGATGAGGATCCCCACTTGGCATTAGAGTCTGCTTCCTCGGGCCTGCTCCTGCAACCACCTGCCCTTTTGGCCCACACCAGGGACAGGGAGGTGCTGGCAGCTGCTGCCTTTGGTGAGAGAGAAGCAGAGGAGGTCCTTACCCATGATTCCCCAGGACAAAGCTGGGAGCCTCTGGGAACCTGTCCCCATGCCTTCCTCTAAGGTGTCGCGCTGCCCCCTTTCAATTCTGCAGGAAGTGGTGTTGTGGCGGAAGGGTGACATCGTACGGAAGAGCATGTCCCACCAGGCGGCCATCGCCTCACAGCGCTTCGAGGGCACCACCTCCCTGGGTGACGTGCGGACCCCCAGCCAGCTGTCTGACAACAACTGCAGGCAGTAGAGGCCCCCGGGGCCAAGAAGATGCTGGGCGTCCACCCAGCACCCCCGTCTACCAACACCAGCGGCTGGGGGCGGGGGCGGACCTTGTGAGGCTCAGTTGACCCGTTACTTGCAACCTGAAAACAAATCATGTTTTTGACTTAAATTCTTTTTTCTGGAGAATCCAAGGGGCTTGGGGTGGGAAGCAGTCTCTCCTTGGGATTCTGTGGCCGATGTGGGATAGGAGAGGTAGCATCCTGGAAGCCAGCCCCTCTGGGGAACACGAGCCCCTTCCTCGCGGGGCTGCCTTGCGTCTTAGAGGAGGGAGAGCAGAGAGCACAGAGCACGCATCCTTGGCTCCTGGCTCTCCGAGCTTCCTGATACAGGATCTGAGCATGTCCCTGGGATTCTGAGCTGCCAACAGGGCCCTGGGTGGTCACCTCTTGTACTCCCCTCTACTGTCCCTGAGGTAGTGGCAGGAGTTGGGCCAGCCACCACTAAATGGCAGGGGGAAGACTCATGATTGGGAAGCTACCTCTTTGGGAATCTTGGATGTGGTGATCTGAAGTTCCCACAGGCCACCTCCTTCCGGCCACTCACTGCTGGGACCCAGGCACCTCCCTTCTCCATCCTCTCTGGATTGTCAGTAATGTCCTGGAACAGAAGCCTGTGGAATGGCCTTGGGAACAGAGAAGCCCTGGGGTCAGTGTGGTGCATGGATGGCGGCAGTGTTGAACCCAGGAGGCTGAACCCAGCCACCAAGAAAGATCAGTGCATGGCAACTGCCTGCCTTCACGTCACTCCACTCGGTAACCCCAAGGTCTGGGCTGTTCTAGGTATTACTCCATGTGCCCCAACAAGCCCTTAACAAGAGGGCCTGTTTCCCTTAAGAAGCAATCCCAGGAAGGGGCCTTGATCCCTCCGCCTTGCTGAGAGGGAACCCTCGTCTCTCCTCACCCTCCATTTCATTTCTGGAAATTGAGGTTTAGTTTCAAACCGTTGGCAAGGCTGTTCTTGCTAATGCCCAAGCCCCTTTACCCCTCTCCCTATAGGTTGCACAGGGGAGACCAGGGCCTCGGCAGAAGACTGCTGCCACACTTCCGGATCATTCTGCTTGCCAAATATGTCATCTTCACCAGTTGACTGACCCAAGTTTAGGACCATTGGTATTGTGTGTTTAAAAAAACACATATAAAAAACTCTTGTGAGTATTCTAGTTATGCTAGAGAGGAAGGCACTTCTCCCTCTCTGGCTCTGCGCCGGGGCCTATGGTAGCAAAGTTGTTTAGTGTCCTTTTTCTGCCTCCCCTGGAAATGACAGGCATTACTCTCCTATTGGCCTCCCTTCCCTTTATAGAAAGACCAAGCAGGTCCCACTGGCCAACAGGTGCAGCATTTGGTGGTCGGAGTTCTCAGTAATTTGGAAAGTTTAGGAGTTGGTTCCTGTGTCACCTTTCAGTTAGTGTGGGAAAGGAAGACTCCTGTTTTCCTGAGATCAGTGCAGTCTCAGGCCTTTGACAGGGCTCATGGATCAGAGCTGAGACTGGAGGGAGAGGCATTTGGGGTAGCCTGGGAGGGTGACTGGGGGCAGCAGAACCAAGGAAGGCAAGCTTGTTTCCCCCATGCTGGGTCCTGTGTTCAGGTGCGACGCACAATCCTCATGGGAACAGGACCACCCATGCGCTGCCCTTGATGATCAAGGTTGGGGCTTAAGTGGGTGAGGGAGGCAGGTTCTGGGTTCCTTGCCTTTTCAGAGCATGAGGTCAGGCTCTGTATGCCTCCTTTTCCTAGCTGATATTCTAACTAGAAGCGTTTGTCAATTCCTTTGCCTCCCAACTGACAAAACACGTTCATTTTCCAACCTTCCTAACATCTTAAACCTTTCTTCTGGGAGAACTAGAAGGTAGAATTTGCTTTGATTCTCTCAGGCGCTGTGCACAAGCCAGGTCTTCTGTTTTCTCTTACTCTACCCACAGTCTTGCCTTCTCTATCCAACTGTGAAAGTGAGGGGAGGCTCCTGTCCCCCTCTCTTAAGGTCCCCAAACCTGGGAGTGCATAGGTACTAAATCAAGCAGTGCAACTTGTAATTAAGCAGCTGCAGTGTTTACATGTTTCTTAATGTGTCATCTTTTCAATGGCTGTATTTTAAAAGAAGAACATTTGTTTTAATGGTCTTTCTGATTAAAGGAAGCCCCTGTGGCTTTGGAGGCATTGTGCCCATGGTCCACCAAGCTCTGTGGTCTCTTCCGTCTTACATGGTCCCATCTCTGACACTCGGGGAAAGACAAATCCCCGCCCTGATTTCCCTGCATAGTGCCTGTGCTCTCCCTGTATAGCTCCTGGTGGAAAATGATGAATACTTCATTAGCCACCTGTTTGAGACAAGCATATGGCTGAGAAATGAATTCAGTTCTTATCCCTATCTGGCAATTTACCTAGAACTGCTCATGGGATGGTTTAAACCTCTGTGGGAGCCAGATGATGTAAGGGGCAGGTGAGCAAGACTGGTGTAGAAAGAAAAGTTCATTCCAGTGGGTGTTACCAGACTGAGGGTCTCAGCCCTACATCCTGCAATTTGCTACAGAACTACTAGTGATCATGAAGAAAGATGGCAGAGGCAGCCTTGCATCTTGGAGCGGCCAGAGGAGCCCGCCTGGAGGTAAGAGGTCTGCAGCGGGGGGTATCCCACTGCACTCAGTGTGGTTTTAGAAGAAAAATTTTTCAACTTTGATATTATTTTATTGAAAAAAGTACACAAAAACTACTTAGCTACACAAGCCCAGGTGAGCATAACAAGCAAGCCCCCCCCACCCACCTTCTTTTGTCTTGGAGTAATTTCTTGCCCATTCCAGCAGTAATATCTCAGTTAACTTGGTTCCTTTTCCTCCAGGCTCAAAACAAAATCAAACTCTTCTATTAAAAAAAAAGGAAAAAGGAAGAATTAGGTATTAATGTCTCCTCTTGAACAGGAAAGTTGTGCCAGGCACAGGTACATTTTACGTGGTGCTAAGGCGAGCAGTCATTTGTTCAAAACTATTTACCAGGTGCCAAGCACTGTAGAGTACTGGGTAATACTAACAGGTAACTCAGGCCACATTCCCTCCCTCATGGATGTTGCAGGTGAGGATGCTGACAGAAAGGTGAAGTACCATGCCCAAGTTTCATCAGCTAGTAAGTGGGAATTCATGAGGTCATTCTGGTATACGGACGATATAGGAGAGGGCCCACTCTTACCTTGGGTCAGGGGTTGGATTGATAATCTCTGGCGACTGAAGAGAGTCATATTTTTTAAGGGGCCACCAGTAGCTTTGTGAGCTTGATGATAGGATTTGAGCTCAGCCAGGGGAATGAAACGCTTCATCATCCGAACAAACTGTACATCCACCTAGTGACAATAGTGTACATGATAGAAAGATGTGTCTAGGCTGACTCTGCCCACTGTATTTTTAACCGCCTGCAGGAAGCTCCTATCTCATCAGTATCACCTCATCTGAGTAAGTGCCGGGCTGTGTACCTTGACCTACAGTCAGCCCAACCGTCTTCCTCCCCTTGTTCATCCTTCCCCTGTCATGAAATGGAAAGCAGAGTCTTTACCATGGACCACTTAGGGTTGTCCTCTTTGCTAGATGGGTCATAATGGGGATTGTTTTTCTCAAACTGTGTGTGGTCTGGGTAAGCCTCTTTCACGATCTGAAACCAAAACAAAAGTTTTGAATCATTTGCCTGCAGTCAGCTCCACAGCCAATCTTTAATCCATATCCAAATTTCATTTCTTACCCTGAACATTCTTACCCCATCTGCCTTGCTGTAGAGCCAATGGGGGCTCAGAAATTTGGAAATAATATAAAGTCTAATATATAGACTAGGAAATCAACTGTTTTTACAAAAATCTTAAAAATGTGCTCTCAAAACAAATGGCAAAGGTTATTACTGGTACCACTGTTTTTTTCCCACCTGCAGAGTTAGTAATTTTATCCTGATAAGTTTGGAGGAGCTACTATCAGGCCTGTTTTCAAGTGAGATCAAGACTTAGAGGTGGAGTGAAGTCTGCTGGTGGGACCTGAAATGAAGGCCTGCTTTGTTTTCAGTTGTTGTCATATAGGGACGGGCCAGGGCAGTTTTTCCCTACTCCTGTACAAGGGGATGGGGTGGGGGGGAGTGTACTTTTTTGTTACCTAATTAAGGTGTATCCCTTTATATCTACTTAAGTTAGTCTCCCTGGAGGGAAAGGGATTCACACCAAAACCTGTCCAACTAACCTTCATAAGTCCTGCGATGCCTGGCTCTTTGCAGTTGCTATGGTAGAAGAAGGCTTCTTCTCCTAGCTTCATGGCTCTAAGGAAGTTCCGAGCCTGTCTCAGGGGAGAAGAAACAGTAACTATCCTCCCATCAGCTGGAAAGGTCTAGCTTTTAGCAGACATCAAGTCTGCTTTTAATAGATGGGTTTTTCTTGTTTGCACTTCTCAATTCATTAGAAAGTCCATCTCCTTTGCCAGGACACCCAGACTTTTACCAGGACACTGGCCAGAACACAGGCAAATTGCAGATTTCATGCGGCACACTTAAGGCATTTTTAAATACATTATCAGGTTTGGTTCTGAAAAAGGCAACCTTGGCCAAGAGGTTCTGCTACTGAGTAAGTCATGAGGAGGAGGCAGGCATTTATCCCACCTGGGTCTCAGGGAACCTCCTCCTTACCCTCTTACCTGGTAGTTACGAACACCATCCCAGCATGTTGTCTGTTTGGGCTGTGCTTTGAGATCCTCAATGCTGAACTAGGCAAGAGAAAATAAATTCAATCATTAAACAATCCTTGGCCAGTTAGTTAGCATATATGGAAGCAGACAGTTCCTTCCCCAACAGTGAGAGGGGCCACTGGCTATAGAGGAAATATGTAGTTCACTGGGAAGTGGCTCCACAGACACACTTTTGTTGGGTGAATGTAAGTAAGCCTTGTGTTACCTTGTTATCCTTGCTAATTATGAGGATTAGCTGAATGAATAATCTAGATGATAAAGTAATCTGCTGGATACTTGCATTTCACTTTATATTTCTTCTATAATATTTCTGCTTATATTTTTCCCAGGCTATATTAAATTCCCTGAAATATACATCAGCTGTTGGCAGGGAGACACCTAGGAGCATGGCAGGTGGTCAGAGAAAGGTAACCTAAGATTGAGGTTGGCAAACTACAGCCTTCAGGGCAAATCTAACCCCATGCTGGATTTTGTGAATACAGTTGAACTTTAACACAACCACAGCTGTTTATGTATTATCTCTGGCCACTCTCTTGCTACAAGGGCAGGGTTGCAACACAGACTAACACACACAAGCCTACGAAATTTACCGTCTGGCCCTTTGTAGCAAAAGTTAGCCAACCCCTGCCCTAGATAGGTTCATAAACCAGTTGATGATAATAAACCCTGCCGATTTTATTCATTTTTACCTTTTTCCTACCCTTCAAAGAGAAGCTGGGGATGGAACCCCATTTAAAAACCACCATGAAGGGACTGGAGACAGGTCAAGGATCTCACCTTCACATCTACACCTTTCTCTAGTCGGCTCTCTGGCTCTGACTTCATCAGCCAGTGGCTGCTTAGATTCTTCACACAGTTTTTAGTGGCTGAAGTCTTCTGAGGGTTGAAGTCCTCCACTTCAGCTAATGCCTCACCTGAGTTCTCAGTTTTGGTGCGTTTTCCTGAGAGTCCCTTGTCTGCAACAGGAGAAGCAAAAGAAAAGATCATGCTTCTTAGAGGCAATGTTTCATAATGGAAAAAGCTTACGCTTTGGAGTCAGGCCTGGATTCAAATCATGGATCCATTACCAGCTGCAGGACCTTAATCTTACCATTAAGAAGCTTTCCTTATCTATAAAAATTAGACAAGAATACCTACCTTACAGGATATCTTCTGGGTTACGTATTCAGTAGGATAAGAACACCTTACAGGGCTGTTCAGGATTAAAGGTCCTGGCAGTAGTCAATGTTTTCCTTTCCTCACTCTCTCTGCTATGCCTTTGCATAGGAAAAAGGAAACTAAGCACCTACTTGCAACTATTTTGAAGCTTAAATGAGATAATACAAAAGGCCTAGACAATGCCTGGCATTACAATAAATGCTCAATAAAAGCATTATTATTCTCATCTCATGCTTCTTCCCCTCTTGCTCACTGTGGCTCATGGCCCGTCTCCTTTCTGCTCCTTGAAGGTGCCAATAACAGGTGAAAGAAACAGTTCATTCAGGACATTGTAGAAATGGTGATGATTCGCTTTCATCCCAAGACAATTAGAATGTGCCTGGAACACAGTAGGCATTCAGTAGCTAAGTTTGATTACTATATGACAGGGCCCAAGGTCTGTGTGTTACCCTAACCTTAACTCGGTTTATCTACGTAACCTGTGAGATGTACTCTTCATCTGGGAAGCATGCTCCAGATCACACATCCAGTAATGGCGGAGTCAAGATATGAGGTCAGCACCTGTCACTGAGGTCTGTCTGAAGCTACTGAATAACTATACTGCCTCTGAATTTAGTCAAAGTCCCTACATCAATTGTCATTAAATATTATTTATGGATATCTAATGCTCTGAATCCAGTATACTTTCCTAACCTAGTTTCCTGATGGCCCCTTAGGAGTTAACAGGCACACTGCAAACACCACATATTGATACATAACTGCAATGTACTGTAGTGTATCTGGAACCCCTGTCATTACCAAAAGAGGTACTTCCTGCACCTTCCAATGTTCCTCCTCCTCCATCCACTTAAGAGTGCCATCCATCTTTGTGAATATAAAAACGACCTCACGTTTTCTTAGTACTAAACTTTGCCCATGGAAAGTCTCCCATTCTTCAGGGCTGGGCTCAAATTACACGTCCTTCTCCAGGCCTTCCTGTGATTCCTCCCTCCACAACCGTAGCAATCCATTCCCCTGAACCCCATCACGTTTGCAGTTTACCCGCCACCAGGGGATTTCTGTTCTTTAGCACGCCACCTGGTATCGCAAACAGTCTTTGTGCGTCACAACCATTGCCTGAATAAACAAGAAAAAGACTCTTAAGTAGGAGCTTGGTGAGACACGTAAAGAAGATGGAGAGTGATTAAGGATAAGTTAATAAAAAATCACAAAGGGTTCTCTCAACAAGCAGGGAGTGAAAAATGAAGAGTATTAAACACGTTCTTCGAGAAAGGCTCTTTCTTGAGCTGCCTCTGTGCAGCCTGGGGGCAGCTCACCTGAACCAGAAGTCCCAGCCAGCCTCTTCCGAGGTCTCGACATGGTCACCCTGCAGGAGACTGAAGTGCGGAAGATTCTGGAATCAACGGAGATACAAGAAAGAATCTAATGTCCTCCAAAACCCGCGCAGAGCGAGATGGGGGCAACGAGAGGCAGCCTAGAATGTCTCCAACTTTTGCGAAACACAGACACTGTGTTGAGCCCCTCAAATCCTTCCCTCCGTTATCTGCGCCATTTCCGTCTCGCATAACCTGCCCCTAAACTCTTCTCGGTTCTTTGCTTGGTCCTCATCCAGGGACCCCTCTCTCAGTTCCAGCTCACTGGGAAGTGGCTCCACAGAGGCACTTCTGTTGGGTGAATGTAAGTAAGCCTTGTGTTACCTTGTTATCCTTGCTAATTATGAGGAGCAACTGAACGGACAAGATAGATGATAAAGTAATCTACCGGCTACAAACCCACCACTCTGCAGACGTGACCGCGGTCCGCCTCCCCCGCGCCGGAGGCTGTGCAGCGTAACCCCGCGGCGCTAGGTGGGCGGTGCGACTCTGCGGCGCCGAGGCCCCGAGGACTTCTGGGAATTGTAGTCGTGGCCCCCTTTGGAGCCCACCTTGCACGTGGGTTGTCAGGGCTCGTGGGAGGACTACAACCCCCAGGGTGCAGTGGGGCAGACGATGCCGGGTCGCAAGCACAGCTAGTGAGAGCGCAGCGGAGGTCGGAGGCTTTCAGGCCTTTAGCTGAACGCGAAGCTGCAGTGACGATGTTGGGGACAGGCTGCCGGCGCCTCGGGGCGAGCCTCGGCTGCCTGCCCGGCGGTCTCCGGGCCCTCGTCCAGACCGGCCACCGGAGCTTGAGCTCATGCATCGACCGTAAGGATCTCCTGGGCGGGCAGGAGGACAGGTGTCCAGAGCCCTGGCGGACATATGTCCGCGAGGGACTGCAGTCTCCCCGCTCCATCCAGTCCGCCCGGCGTCAGCTCCCTTTCCGGCCAGTCACTCCCCCGGCCTGGCTTTCTACTCCGGCCGCTCACCCTCGGCCCGGCTCCCAGCTCCGACCCGTCACCGCCGGCCCGTCTTCCCACTCCGGCCGGTCACCCCCGCCGGGCTGCCCCCTCCGGTCGGTCACCACCATCCAGGTCCCCATCTGGTCCGTCACCCCCGCCCGGGCCCCCCTCCGGCCCGTCACCCCCGCGCGGGCCCCCCTCCGGCCCGTCACCCCCGCCCGGGCCCCCCTCCGGCCCGTCACCCCCGCGCGGGCCCCCCTCCGGCCCGTCACCCCCGCGCGGGTCCTCCTGCGGCCGGTCACCCTCGGGTGCTTAGAGAAATGAAGAAACTTGGGACTTTGTTGTTGTTGTTGGGCTCGTTGGTTTTTAAATTCATAACAGTGGGTCATAAAGGTAGTGAGAATGTAAGAAGCTGGCTGGGTACTGATGGTCGCAGCTGAACAAGAGCTCCAGGTCATACAAGATTTGCTCACACACAAAGATGTGGTATCTTAATACCTCTGGCTGTAAGACACTTTTAGTGTTGAAACTCATGCAGGAAAAATAATTATTACTGCAAGTGAGAGACTCTACCGGAGCCGACAAACTTGAGTGTCTTTAGGCTCTGAACAATAATGTGAATGTAACAAGGAGTGGTGGAGACCCGGCCAGTTTGTGACTTCTCTGCCAAGCACCTTTATAAACACTTTTTTCCTCTAAAATATTTTTAATTTATTTTAAATAAATGACAATTTTCTTTACAACAGAGTAAGTCCCTTAGACATCAGATCTATAAAGTACAGTAAGGCATAGAATACTGTTTTCTTCTCCATGTCTTAAAATTCATTCAAGAGGTGCTGCCCTGTCCTAGCACTTAGAATTTGATAACTAAGATTACCCTGATTGATACCAAAGCAGATAAGGAATTATTTAGAGGTGGGTATTGTTGTTTGCATCTTGCTTACACTTGAGTTGCTCTGCAGTAAAAGGCTTTTCCCATTTCATTTGGACTGTTTTTCTATTTAGCTTTACCTCTTTAGTATGTATGTATTGGCATCTTGAACTCTGCTAGTAACTGGCAAAGTTCATGAATGGTGGTATTTGTTTTGTTTTTATAGTGTATTTCCTTGTGGGAACTTAGGTAGTTATGTCGTGTTTACTTATGCATATGATTTCCATTAAACTATTTACTTCCAATAGACTGCAACTCAGATTTATTTCTTAAGCCTGTGGTTCCCTGAACTATTTGTTTTAGGAAGTAGCTATTTACAGAAGATTTGTTAGCATTTAATGAACTCTTGCTAGGATTGAAATAAAATGCATTACTACCATTGAGGTCATCCTTTGTGTGAATGGATCTTTTTATTTACTTTTTTGAGATGGAGTCTTGCTCTGTCGCCCAGGCTGGAGTACAGTGGTGCAATCTCAGCTCACTGCAACCTCTGCCTCCCAGGTTCAAGCAATTCTTGTGCCTCAGTCTCCCAAGTAGCTGGGATTACAGACACACTCTACCATGCCCAGCTAATTTTTATATTTTTAGTAGAGACAGGGTTTTACCATGTTGGACAAGCTGGTCTTGAACTCCTGACCTCAAGTGATCCACCTGCCTTGGCCTCCCCAAGGGCTGGGATTACAGGCGTGAGCCACCGCGCTTGGCCGGATCATATTTATTTTTGTAACCCCAGCACTGCTACCTGGTAAACACCCAATAAACATTCTTTTGGGAATGATCTTTGAGCCATGGTCTATAGCAACAGCAACTCTTGTACAAAATTGTGTGAATAAATGGCCTGACCCCGGTCAGAGAACCATGAGTTGTTTATCCCTAACTCTGCTCGTGAGAGTAATACCCAACATAGGTTTCTGCTCTGAGCTTCTCAAGGCAGCCCGATGATTAATCCTCAGAACTCTTGATTTCTGACTTTCCTGTTTTAATGAGAGTACTGATCACAAAACACGGTGCCCTCTCCAGGTTTGCATAGCCAGCCATTACTGATGCCCGGATTTGTCCCGAGGAACAGACTCTGGCACCTGCACTTGTGTTCTTTTGTAAGGACTGCATCGCTTGTAGGCACTGAAGTAAATTATCGTCAAGTGTGGCACCATAGTCTTCCCATAATGCTCTTTTTTCTTTTTTTTTTTTTTTTTGAAACAGAGTCTTGCTCTGTCCCCAGGCTAGAGTGCAATGACCCGATCTCAGCTCACTGCAATCTCCGCCTCCCTGGTTAAAGCCTCCCTGGTTAAAGCGATTCTCCTTTTTCACCCTCCCAAGTAGCTGGGATTACAGGCATGTGCCACCACGCCCGGCTAATTTTGTATTTTTAGTAGAGGTGGGGTTTTTCCATGTTGGCCAGGCTGGTCTCGAGCTCCTGACCTCAGGTGATCTGCCCACCTCGGCCTCCTAAAGTGCTGGGATTACAGGCGTGAACCATCGCGCCCGGCCCATAGTGCTCTTTAGTGCCAGTTATAATAACCAAAATTCTAGCACTGTGGCCTCGACCTCTGGGTCTACAACTGCATTTTACTAAGTGTCTAGGATAAGAGATGTCTGGAAGTCCCCTATCCTGTTCTAGGTTGATCTGGATGTGTGTGAGAACTGTCCTTTCTCCATATGACAAGTGGAATAATGATAGAATATGCCATTCTCTAGCTGTTAAAGGCTGTACTGTGTATGGGAAATACTACAGTAGATCCAGTTTCACAGCTTCATGCTTCTTGTTGGCAACTCTTCCCTGACCCTGCCCTGGAACTGAGTATATGCAAAATCCTGCCCACAGCTTCCCTGGGACTTAATGAAGAGCAGAAGGAATTTCAGAAAGTGGCCTTTGACTTTGCTGCCCGGGAGATGGCTCCAAATATGGCAGGGTGGGACCAGAAGGTAGGAGTTTTTCTTGTGCTTAGACGTTCTAACAGATGTCTCAGGCAGACCTTTATCTTCGTCTCCTAATAATCTAAGTGTTAAATGTCTCCTCCACTTACCAACTCTTACTGCAAGTAAGAATATGGTAGTGGATGATTTTTCCTAGAAGGCATCCTGATCATCTTGTACATAACTCTTTTTTGTTACTTGAATAAAGATTTGGATATAAAACTAAGGCAGTTCTATCGATAATAAAAAGAAACTTCTTAATGCCAGAAGAAGTTTTTACAGGACCCATGTTAACTGATAACCACTGTAAGATGACAAACAGGCATGTTAAGAGAATTCGTGTGCTCTCCCATGTGCAAGCACCCTAATCCCCTCATTGAACCCTCTAAAAGGAAGGCCGTCTCTGAACCAGTTGCTGATGACCCTGCTCTCTTTTGTACATAGGAGCTGTTCCCGGTGGATGTGATGCGGAAGGCAGCCCAGCTAGGCTTCGGAGGGGTCTACGTACAAACAGATGTGGGTGGGTCTGGACTGTCACGGCTTGATACCTCTGTCATTTTTGAAGCCTTGGCTACAGGCTGCACCAGCACCACAGCCTATATGAGCATCCACAAGTGAGTGCCCAAGCTTGGAAGGCACAATGAAGTACCCACATGGGCTGACTGTGAGAGTTCAGATTCATAGGAAAAAGATTGATCTTTTGAGGCTGAGTGTCCTCAAGGAACTGGACTTACAGGGGCCTGGTGCAGTGGCTCATGCCTGTAATCCCAGCACTTTGGGAGGCAGAGGCGGGTGGATCATGAGGTCAGGAGTTTGAGACCAGCCTGGCCAACATGGTGAAACCCCGTCACTACTAAAAATACAAAAAATTAGCCGGGCGTGATGGTGGGCACCTGTAGTCCCAGCTACTCGGGAAGCTGAGGCAGGAGAATGGCGTGAACCCAGGAGGCGGAGCTTGCAGTGAGCTGAGATCGCACCACTGTATTCCAGCCTGGGCGACAGAGTGAGACTCCGTCTCAAAACAAAAAAAAAAGTACACGCTAGGTCTGCTGCTGCCTGTTGGACTTGATTCTGTCGTCCTGTGTTTTGCTTAGGGAATCAGGTCAGCCAGCTTTCTCAGAAATCTTATTTTGAGCTGGTACTAGGAGACTTCTCCAATAACGTGATCGGGGTCCTCTCACCCTTTTCTTTTTTTTTTTTCTTTTTTTTTTTTAAGACGGAGTCTCGCTTTGTCGCACAGGCTAGAGTGCAGTGGCATGATTTTGGCTCACTGCAACCTCCGCCTCCTGGGTTCAAGCGATTCTCCTGCCTCAGCCTCCTGAGTAGCTGGGATTACAGGCACACGCCACCACACCTGGCTAATTTTTTTGTATTTTTTAGTAGAGATGGTGTTTCACCATGTTGGTCAGGCTGGTCTCAAACTCCTGACCTTGTGATCCGCCTGCCTCAGCCTCCCAAAGTGCTAGGATTACAGACGTGAACCACCACGCCTGGCCCCCTCACTTTTTTCCTCAATCCGGAGATGGAACTGCCAGTGAGTTGAGAAGTAATAGAAACTACTCATAGAAAGTACATATAACTCTCTGATTTTTAGAGGCTCCTGTAACCCGACTAGAAGTAGTACAGACATCCTGGTGAGAAGTGCCTCAGCCTGGTTATCTCTGGGTAGTTCTTATTCCAGGAATATGTTTTAATCCAGCCTTTTCCTTTAAAGAATCTTCCCAGTTGTGACTTTCCCCCTCCCACTCTTCTGCTTACTGCCCTGCCCTTTGTTCTGTCTCCCCTTCTCCCCCAATTTTTTTTCTTTCCCATCTTTATTTCTGCCAATGTCTTTTCTTCTTGGTGTACCTGTCAGCATGTGTGCCTGGATGATTGATAGCTTTGGAAATGAGGAACAGAGGCACAAATTTTGCCCACCGCTCTGTACTATGGAGAAGTTTGCTTCCTACTGCCTCACTGAACCAGGTGGGTTTGCCACACTGCACTGAGATACAGCAGGGAGATATGCTTCCTGCTCAGACGGCGTCACCGAGCACTCCTCCCAGCCTGTTGACACGTTGAGCCCCTGTTTATCAAGCTGTTTGGGTGAGGAGTAATAGAGTCCTATGACCTGATGTCACAAGGACCAAGAGACCTATCTGGTGTGTTGGGAGGTGGACAGTGGCCTGACTGATGAGAGCAGTTTCCACCAAGTACAGAGCGTTCCTTTGGCCACCTGGATTTTGCATTGGCACACTCTGAGCAGTGTCTGTTTAGGGAAGATTTCCTAGGAGATAGAATTGTGCTGGGCTCCCTCGACCTCACTGAATTTCTCAGCTTCTCTCTGCTGCCTTTTGATCCCTCCTCAGGAAGCGGGAGTGATGCTGCCTCTCTTCTGACCTCCGCTAAGAAACAGGGAGATCATTACATCCTCAATGGCTCCAAGGTACTAGTGTGCGTCCTTCCAGAGCACCTTGGAAATTGTTCCCAGCTTCCTCCTGACACCCTCTGGTTCCTTCACATCTGTGGGTTAATACTCCCATAGGATTTTTATGTGTTGGGAAGAGAACCTCTGACCCATTTATCTTTCTTTATTCTCACTGTTTCTCTCTCTCCTAGTCTGATTCCAGATCATTTCATTGACTTTTGTCTATCCTTTTAATACTCTGTTGAACTGTATCTCTGATTCTGCAGTCACTGCAGCTACCTTTTACCCCTCCTCAGTCTCTGTGCCATTAGACCTTATTGTTAGGAGGACCCCAGTGGTGTTCCCAGATGCTGTGAGAACTCATGCATTCCCTAGTCCTATTGCACCCCTTTTACCCCTCCAGGCCTTCATCAGCGGTGGTGGCGAGTCAGACATCTATGTGGTCATGTGTCGAACGGGAGGACCAGGCCCCAAGGGCATCTCATGCGTAGTTGTTGAGAAGGGGACCCCTGGCCTCAGCTTTGGCAAGAAGGAGAAAAAGGTGAGTGGCTGTCGAACAGGAAACAATTCAGGTTATGAGACTGCCACCTGCCAGCCCAACTCCTGCGCTATTTCAGAAAACAGGTTTGCATACTTGCTAACCTACCTTCGAAGCAGTTGTTTCTATGAGGATTTTCAACAGGAGCGTATAAAATATAACAGGGCATTGTTAAACACCAGGCCTCTGGGGAGAGTGACAGCTTTTGCCAGTGAAGTCTACAAGCCACCTGTCAGTCAGTGTTCCGACCTCCCTGCCTCTCCTTTTGGCTTGTGTTCCTATCCAGCTTCTTACGTTGCTGCGCTTTGCTGCTCCCGGAAGAGACACTGAGAGAAGACCTGGTATTGACCACAAGTCTCAGTAATGGAAGGCACGTGGTCCCTTTGTCTTCTTTGATTAAAAATAAAGTAAAACTCATTAGAGATCATTGTGGGTATTTCACAACCTAAGAAGGACACTTAGGTACTATAAGTATTTTGAAAAGTAAGGCACGTCTAGGATGAAGAACCGCCATGGCCAGGGCATGAACAGGAGACCTGTGATTACGTAACCGTAATTGGTAATAAGGGCTCAAGACCCATTCAGATTGTTTAGACCAGATGCTGAAAGCGGTCATCTCTCTCTAGTTTGTACTGTTATGGGGGGACTTTGTGAGAGAAGGCAGGTGATGAAATGACTCCTAAGTGTATCTCTCACAGCTCCTCAGGTTTCCATATTTTCCTACAGGATCCTTCCTGATCCTCCGTAACTACAAGGTGTTATGCATCTTAACACCCCCTTCTCTGGTAACACAGCAGCCATTTCCTAGGCTTCTCCCACATGCAAAGCCCATGCTAACTCCTGGGCAGGAAGACCTTCAATAAAAGGCTTAGAAATGAAGTTTATCCTATCAACAAAAGAGAGCAAGGAAATAATGTAAAGGCAGTCATATTTTCAGAGCCAGAAAGGAACTAGATTTTAGATAATTTGTGGTTTTCAATTAGAGGCACTGAAATTGAGGGCAGTTGGTGTCACAATCCTGAAGGAATTTGTGAGAAGTGTTTGTAAGTCAGGTAGGGTAGACATTAGAAAGTAGATTCTCTTAATACGTTCGGAAATGTTTAGCTGAAACAGATATCTTTCTGACTGCTGACAGGCCTTTAAACCTGAACTTTTTCTTTCTCCTCATTTTAAGTTCTCGCGGGTCTAAGTCACGGGTGCTGAAACCCATCCCTCACAGGCTTCTGTATCCAGGGAAGGCTGCCCTACCTGCTGGATTGTTGGGCAGCCACACAGTCCCTGATTTTTGCCAGGTGGGGTGGAACTCCCAGCCAACACGAGCTGTGATCTTCGAAGACTGTGCTGTCCCTTTGGCCAACAGAATTGGGGACGAGGGGCAGGGCTTCCTCATTGCCGTGAAAGGACTGAACGGAGGGAGGATCAATATTGGTGAGACACGAAGGGGTGCGGCAGGGAGGTGGCAGTCCGGGACCGGCAGTGCTGTTTTCCAGCTCAGTTGGAACGTCGGCGCTCTTCCCCTCTAGCTTCCTGCTCTCTGGGGGCTGCCCACGCCTCTGTCATCCTCACCCGAGACCACCTCAAGGTCCGGAAGCAGTTTGGAGAGCCTCTGGCCAGTAACCAGGTAACCTCTCCCTTGCCTCCACATGGCTTTCCACTCTTTGCAGCCCGGGACCTGCTCTAGGGCCCACGTTTTCTAGGAGAGAAGCCAGGAAATTCCTCTGCCAGTCCCACCACTGTCCTAGCCAGAGCTTGTGCTTTATTTCTGTCCATCTTCTCTCAGGATATCTTTACTGATACTAGAGTGTTGGGTGGGTGAAGTGGACTTAGCACTTCTAAAGCAATAAATTTCCTCTAGAAAAAGCAAGAGACTGTGAAGCTTTGGATCACTTAGAAGAAGGTGCGTCAGAGATGTCTCAGCAAGGCTCCTGCACCAGGTGCTGGTCTAAGCCCCTCAGTCTTGTCTGGTTCTCTTCTCCCTGTGCTGCAGTACTTGCAGTTCACGCTGGCTGATATGGCAACAAGGCTGGTGGCCGCACGGCTGATGATCCGCAACGCAGCAGTGGCTCTGCAGGAAGAGAGGAAAGAGGCAGTGGCCTTGTGCTCCATGGCCAAGCTCTTTGCTACAGATGAATGCTTTGCTGTAAGTGATTCCTCTGGCTCTGCTGGGGTGGACAGGGAACAGCCTCTAGGCCCAGGGTCTTGAGAGGCGTGAGTCAGCTTTGGAACAAAGGCCTCTGGAATGCCATGGGGATCACCTTAAGCTGAAGGATATAAATTAACTCAGGAGCGGCCTGCGTGGGAGCGCTCATCGCTGGCTTTCAGGTCTGCTGCATGCCATTACACACTTCGTTACGTCACTATTGTTTGGTTGTGTTCTAGGTGAGACACCACCTTTGGAAGGTTCACAGCAGCCCAAATTTAGCACTCTGCCGTGTTTACATTGTCAGGGCGGAGCTACACTGAGGCTGCTTTGCCGCTAGGGGGAACCATAACTACTTCTCATCCCAGCCAGGGTGGCCGTGGGCAGCTTGTGCCTGGCAGGTAATAAGCCAGAGGGCCAGAGGGCTTTGAGTCGCCTGTCTGGTGGGGACTGACAAGTTTAGTAGGTGAACCTTCCTTGTCTCTAACCATACAGAATGTGGAGGCCCTGTTTGAGCTTGGCTGTTTGTGGTTCTTTCATTAGTTTACGGCGGGCTGCCAGATCGTGGGCTGGGGTAGGAAGGGAAGCTGCTTGCTCCACAGTCTTCCCGGAGTCCAAGACGTCTAATCCCTGTCTCCCTGCAGATCTGCAACCAGGCCTTACAGATGCACGGGGGCTACGGCTACCTGAAGGATTACGCTGTTCAGCAGTACATGCGGGACTCCAGGGTCCACCAGATTCTAGAAGGTAAAAATTGCCAGGGGTTATTCTCTTCCTTCAGAACGGGGGCGGTATCGCTGCTTTCCCCAGTGTGTCTGTCCCCATGCCTCCCGGACCTCAGGGTCCAGTCAAGCCCTGTCTGTCTCGAGGCTTCCTCCTCCCTCCCTTTCCACAGAGCTGCTCTGGCAGGGGCTTGGTGCACAAAAACAGCCCCAGCCTAGAGTCCAGAGACTCAGCTTCGTCACCGTGGGTGGGCATCGGATCACTCTGCTACTGCTCTTCTGTAGATTTGCGAGAAGGGTGAACTGAGATGATGGATGAGAAAGCATGTTGAAAACTACAGCTGTGGTTTTCTCTAAGGTGATAGTGTGTGTGGTCCTCAGGGATCCAAGAACAGTGATGTACAGGGCGAATGTGAGCCCGTATGGTCATCAGTAGCTCTATATTGATTATCAGCCAGATGGCCTAAAAGATACCTGTCTCAATATTACTAGTGTATTTTTCAATAAAATAAACCATCAGTATATGGGTATCTTGGTAGTCACAGACATGCTGTCTAGGAAACATGTAAGCCACTGGGGTCAGGCTCAGAGCCAGGCTGTCTCCACTCTCTACAGCCAGTGCGGACGTCTTGAAATGACACGACTCTTGGAAAAGCGGGAGGAGCAGAGGCTTCTTCGAGTGACTTCAGTGAAGCAACGTGAGGCTGCCTTGCTGGAAACATTATATAATGGGGCTTCCCTGCCCCTTTCACAGCACTGTTTTCAAACCTCAGCCTGTGCTGGAATCGCCTGGAGGGCATGGGAGCACAGATTGCGGGCCTCAGCCCCAGAGCTTCTGCCCCAGAGGGTCTAGTGCGGGCCTGGGAATTTGTATCTCCAACAAGTCTTCAAGTGAGGTTGCCGCAGCTTGTCTGAGAACCACACATTGAGACCCACCACTCTGGTGTTAATGTCAGAGTCACAGGCTACCCCAGGTTAGACGGCTGCTTGCTTCAAACCTCATTCCAGAAAGATGTTTGTGGGCTCAGTCGCCAGGGTTCAAACGGAATTCCCCAGAGTCTTTGTCCTTCCATTACTCTTGGAATTGCTTTCTCACAGAGCTTTATGTGCATGGGAAACTTTGCCTTCATTCTGACTGTCTCTCAACCCTGCAATAATAAGCGGGAAAACATTTATTTTAGGCCACACCATCACCCACTTATAAAAGAATTGGGACATTTATCACTTTACCACTTTGTTTCATCATGGACTTCACTGTTGGATAAATCTACAATTTATGCTTTATTTGAGACGATGTAACTACTGATTGCTCGAGGGAGTTTATATTTCTTTTTACATTAAAGGCCACTGCTAAAAGTGAAGCAAATAATTAATACCCTCCTTTCAGGGAAAATGTTTTTGTTCTTTTATAAATCAGTTTTCTGATTACCAAAGAAATTTCTATTTATTGTTAAAACCTTATAAAATTAGGAAAAGTAGGCTGGGTGCGGTAGCTTATGCCTGTAATCCCAGCAATTTGGGAGGCTGAGGCGCGTGGATCACTTGAGGCCAGGAGTTCGAGACCAGCTTGGCCAATGTGGCGAAACCCCGTCTCTACTAAAAATACAAAAAATTGGCCGGGCCTGGTGGCTCACGCCTGTAATCCCAGCACTTTGGGAGGCTGAGGCGGGTGGATCATATAAGGTCATGAGTTCGAGACCAGCCTGGCCAACCTGGTGAAGCCCCGATTGTCTAAAAATACAAAAAATTAGCTGGGCGCGGTGGTGCATGCCTGGAATCCCAGCTACTCGGGAGGCTGAGGCAGGAAGATCACTTGAACCCAGGGAGGCAGAGGTTGCGGTGAGCCAAGATTGTGCCATTGCACTCCAGCCTGGGCGACAGTGAGACTCCATCTAAAAAAAATACAAAAAATACAAAAAATTAGTTGGATGTGGCGGCACATGCTGCTCAGGAGGCTGAGGCAAGAGAATTGCTTGAACCTGGGAGGCAGAGCTTGCAGTGAGCCAAGATCACACCATTGCACTCCAGCCTGGATAACAGAGCAAGACTGTCTCAAAAAAAAAAAAAGGAAAAAGAAAAGTAAAAAAAAAAAATCACTCATGTTTCCACATCCAGAATGTAATATTGGTATATCTCCTTTTAATCATTTTACTCTGCCTTTGTTGGTACATTTTTAATTTTAATTAGGAGTATCTCGTATATACTGTTTTTATTCTGCCTTTTTAAACTTTACATAAGCATTTTTACTATCAGTAAGTTTTTTAAAAAGTAAATATTATTTCTGGACATTTTTCAGTACTTTGTAGAGAAGTCTCTAAAAATCTCATCTCTCCCAGGCTAAAAGCAATGATTCTGGTTTAAATCTGCAGCTACCCTGAGCTAGGCCTGGAGCAGCCTGGTCAGAGCTTTACTAAACTCTCAGACTTTGCTGCTGTGAAATTCTTCCTTCTTCCTCCCTCTTACAGGTAGCAATGAAGTGATGAGGATGCTGATCTCTAGAAGCCTGCTTCAGGAGTAGAGCCCACACTTGTTCTGGCCTGGTGTTCAGTGCGACCGCAGTCAGTGTTGAGTGGTGCCATGTGGGCCACTTTCTTCCAAAGGGATCATGGATTAGACCCCAGGGCTGAGCTCCTCTAGGGCAGGACCTGCACCCTGTGTGTTGGTAGCAGCATCGGGTCTCACACTGGAGCAGAATCCCCAGTGGAACCAGAAGAGCTGGCCTCAATGAGAAATGTCGGAAGAACACATACTACCTTGTTTTCCTAATGCCAGAAAGGTGACCAGTGAAGATTCACCATCAAACCAAAGTCCTTTCTTGGATCCACTTCATCTTGATTAGTCTGCACTTTGCTGGTTCACCGGATCCCTCCTCTAGGGGCCTGGGGACTTTCATTGAGGCTCTCCCTGACTCTAGAGCGAAGGTGTGGGAAGGGGAAATGGGGGAACGCCCTCCCGTCCGTGTCGTTTTCTGTGCCACAGCTGCAGATGCAGGAGGTTTCTCTGGGTAGCTCACCTTTGAATGTAAATCATGATAAAATGGATATTTGGGAAACTTACTCCTAAGCTGTGATTCAGGGTATATTTCTACTTCTGGACTGCCTAAATATCAAGGGCTGAGGCTTTCGAATTTTGAATATTCGTTGGGTTTCATATTAAGAAGCCTGTGGTCTAGGAATGGTATGCAGTGTTTCTCTTCATGATAAACACTTGGAATATTTTTTTTGAGTTTTTGTTTCCTTTTCTGAAGCTATGCCTCTTTTTAAATATTTTTAATCACAGTGATAAATCTATCCTTCACCACCTCTGGTTCTACTAAAGTTGATTTTTATTTTATCTGTAAGCCTTTACAACTATTTTTAAATGTTTAATTATATTTGATTAAACACTTAACTGGATTTTGGAATAATAAAACTCGTCCAGTTTGGCTTTTAGAAAGCAAGCTCCTTTAATTATTAATAACTTGGCAAACTAAGCATTGTTTATGATGTGTGAAAGTAGAATTAAAGTAAGATTCAAAGATGGGGACTTTAGGAGACCTTGTTTTGTTTGTTTGTTTGTTTGCTTTTTGTTTTTGTTGTTTTTGAAACAGAGTCTCGCCGTGTCGCCCAGGCTGGAGTGCAGTGGCGCAATCTCAGCTCACTGCAACTTCTGCCTCTGCGGTTCAAGCAATTCTCATGCCTCAGCCTCACAAGTAGCCAGGGCTACAGGCGCAAGCCACCACGTCCGACTAATTTTTGTATTTTTAGTAGAGACAGGGTTTCACCATGTTGGCCAGGCTGGTCTCTGAAACTCCTAGCCTCAAGTTATCTGCCCACCTCAGCCTCCCAAAGTGCTGGGATTACAAGCATGAGCCACTGTGCCCAGCCTGGGGAACTCTGTTATAACTCATCGTTACATTACTCTATCCCCTCATCCCCAATGAAAAAAATACGCAAGACATTAACCACAAGCCAATGTTTAGAGAGAACAAAATATGTGTCTGTAGCAACAACAAATGCTATCTTTTTTGAATACACACTAAGGAACTTTTGGGCATTGCAGGAGGACAAGGTGTGGGTATACCACAAAGTTTAAAATGTGTTTCTGCCATCCAAGGCCTTGTTTAAGAGAGGAACTAAGAGCTGTATTGCAAGGTAATGATATATCTGTATAAAGCTGAGAAGGCAACAATCTATAAAAGCGATGAGGGAGGAAGGGATTCAAATTAAGCTTTTTATGAGAATGTATGTGGTCAGGCATGGTGGCTCGTGCCAGAAGTCCTAAATACTTGGGAGTCTAAGTTGAGAGGATTGCGTGAGCCCAGGAAGTTGAGGCTGCAGTGAGCTACAATCACGCCACTGCACTCCAGCCTGGGTGGCAGAGTGAGACCCTTGTCTCTGAAGAAAAAAAAGATTTTGTGAAAATGTATGATTAGAATCAAGAAAGTCAGTTTCAGACAGGAAGGAACCAGGAGCAGGAAAAGTACAGGATTTATGTAAAAGCTGTTTACACTTTGGTTTAATTGTGGTTTGGGGTTGGCATGAGACAGAAGGAAAATAGAAGCTGAACCTGTTTGAAGAGTTGTGAAAGCCAAGGGTAGGGCTTTGTTTGGTAAGCAGTGGAGAGCCATGGAAGGATTTTAAGGCAGGAGATAGGAGATTGATTCATTCATAAGAGCATTCTGGAACGCATATGTGGGATGAATATGACTGAGGCAAGACAGAAGATAAGACATACCAGTCAATGGGTTCTTGAAATAGTCAGGCCGGGCGCGGTGGCTCAAGTCTGTAATCCCAGCACTTTGGGAGGCCGAGACGGGTGGATCACGAGGTCAGGAGATCGAGACCATCCTGGCTAACACGGTGAAACCCCGTCTCT